AGGTCGGGGTGGAGGGAACCCGGCAGGGGGAGGATCCGCGCGGAGGGGACCGGAGAGGGAGGGGGAGGGTACACACTCAGGAGAGGAGAGGGAGGGTCCGCGCTGAGGGGGACCCGGGTGAAGGTCCACGCCGAGGGGACCCGGGGTCGCTGCAGCTTCCCAGAGTGAGAGTCCACTGAAAGGAGGGGGATCCCCGGGGTAGGGGACAGAGGGCCAGTTCTTGCTGGGCCCGGGCTCTGCACGCCCCTCACCCACCGTTGCGCGGCGGCGGAGGGAGCGCGGCGGGCGGCTCCAGGAACCCCGCCGAGCCCCCGCCGCCTCCCCCTCCGCTAGGCGGCCGTTCGTCCCGCTCCATGCGGTGGTGCTCAAGGCCCGCGCTCGGTTCGCTGCTCCGCCATGACCAGCGCCGTTGCCGCCGTCGTCGTCGTCCGCCAGGGGGAGGGGGCTGTCAGGGGCCGGCGGGCTCCGGGCCGCCGCGCACTCTGGGCCGCCAGTCGCCCGGCTCCTAGCCCCTCCGCACCGCGCCCCCTCAGCACTGGCCAGCTCCCTCCCCCGACGTCACGCGCCGCTGCCACGCACGGCCCTGCGGAGCACGCTGGGTATTGGAGTCCTCCCGGCGAGGCCGTCCGCACGGGACTCCGCCAACTGAAGGGGTGGGAAGAAGGAGAACCAACCCTGAAGAAGGGAAATCCAAGTCCTGTCAAGATCATGAAACCGATTAAAAATTTCTGGTAAAAATGTAACAAAGATTACTCAGGGCCTTTTCTTTATTGTGATTTATGCATCGTCAACCTTCCCTATGATTCCTCATATCCCCCCGCCCCGACAATGATTCTTTCCTAGGAGGCGGGTCGAGAAGGAGCCGGGTGAGCACGTGCAACGAAGCCCAGCCCTATAGGCGGGGCTCGGATGGGGCGGAGTTCGGAGGTATTCACTAGGGCCTTCCTCCGCGGCTTCGGGACAAATTGGACCCGAGATTAAAGGACCGGAGTTTAACTCGAGGTGACTGCGTTCGTATGCAAATAGAATCTATAAAACTCTACTTTCCGGGGTACTCTTTAAAGCCTTTTACCTCCGGGTGGGCGGGAAAGACTAAAGTTTCTCTTCCTCCTCTTTCATTTTCCGCCTTTCCCGTAGAACAGAATGGCGAACTAAGCTCTAAGTCATTGCTGCCATTAAAGAAATTCTCTGGCCGGCCGAGTAGGTCAGTTGGTTAAGAGCTCGCTCAAGAGTGCGAGCTCTGAGCAACCCAGTTCGATTCCCAGCCGGAGCTGAGCTAACGCTGAGCTGCCAACAGGTGGCAGGATGGCTCAGCTAAAAAAAGACCAAAAAAAAAAAAAAGGAACTCTCAAGACTCTTAATTCCTGGTGTCTTGAAGCTCTCGGTTTGAGAGGCTCCTTACCTATCTTTGTTCGCCTTCCCTTCTCAGTTTCCCTGTCTGTAAAATGGGGTTGGAATCGGGTCGAGGTCCAATTGGAAGATACCCAACCCCCTTCCCCTGCTCCCCGCCTCAGTTTCCCGGATTTTCCAAAGCCTGCTGCTCGCGGCTGAGCCCATCTCCTGCGGACACCAGGTGGCGCGCGGACACCAGCCTCTGGACCTGCCGGGGCGTCTGCCTTTGGCCACCGTCTCACTGAAGGACTTCGCGGCTGCCGCCCAAGGTCTAAGCCCTACCTGGCCTGCTTGAAGACAAAGAACAAGAACACTAACGTCTTGCCCGCCTCTACCCTGCCTGGTTATGCCGCGGTTTCCTCACTGGCTGCCCATTTCCCGCCCTTTCTCCACCCCGCCCCACCAATCCTTTGGCTTGTCTATGTCATTCCTTAATTTTCAAAAAGCCCTCATCCTGACATTTGTATCCCTGTGTGGTCTGTCCCTGCCCACATTTTTCATCATGCCCTTCCCTTCACCTGCTACGCAGGAGGTTTTGCAACTTTTCCCTGCACTTGAGGGTTCCTTATTAACATTAGTTAACCTGTATTGCATCCTTAATCTGTGCCTCACTACTGTTCTGAGAGATTTACATTAACATTATGTTGTCTAAACCTCACACCCACTCTGAGGTAGCTCCAGTATTGTCCCTGTCATACACTGATGAAGTCACACAGCAGAGAGAGGGATTCCAAACCTATTGGGTTAGAAACTAGAACCTGAGCCCTTGGTTCCTTCAAGCTGGAATGCTGCTGGCTTCACTTCACTCCCAAACCCTTATTCATCTTTCAAAATCCTGTTCAAACATCTCAGGGACACTGTTATTAATACCTGGCTGTAAGGGGTAAGAGATAATAATGGTAGTTGCTACCTCACAGGATTGTTACAAGAATTAAATAAGGTGATGCTATGCATGCAAAGCAATTAGTATAAGATCTGGCCCAATAAATGGGGCCTATTACTAATGTAACTAATGTAAAAAGTGGTCCTAATATCAGTTACAGCTCTTCTGAAAATGCTTCTTGGGAAGAATCACCTACCACAAAATTGAGAAAGTTGAGGGCAATGACAATATACTGAGATCCCAGCCACTGTCCTAAGTATAGGGTCTTGTGAGGTAACCACCTACTATGTGTCCAGCACCTACTATGGAGCCTTTCCCCACCAGTGTCCCCCAACAGTCCTAAGGAATCAGTACTCTCTGTCACACACACACACACCCTAGTTTACAAATGAAACAGAAAGACACATGAAAAGGACTCCCACCACCAGGAGGACTCATGACAGAAGAGCTGGAAAGGACAGTAAGGATAAGGAGGGATTCTGCAGGGGAGTGGTCCTGAGGCCAGAGGCAGACAAACAGGACAAGAGAGGGATACAGCTAAGAACAAGGCAGGTGTGAACCCCATCATGAGGGCCTTGCCCTGTGGTGGGGGAAACAGACTCTAATCAAATCAAACAATCACACAAACCCATAACTGCATATAAATGTTAACAAGAGAACACAGAAGTTCCTGGTGTTATGAGAGTGTGTGACATGGCTCATTCTGGTCCTGGGTGATCATTAGGGGAGGCTTTTGGGGATAAGGAGCATTGAAATAAGATGGGAAGGATGAGTAGGAGTGAGTCATACTGGGCAGAGTGAGTTTTGGGTGAAAGAAACAGCGTGTGCAGGAACAGCATGTGCAAAGGTCCTGAGGCTAAGTTGGAACTGAGAATCCATAGTGACTGGAGCTCACTGAAGGAGAGAGGAGTGGAGAGGAGGAGACCATGGGGCCATGTTGAGAAATAGCCGTCTGGGGGCAGAGCTCCCTGGTGACAGCAGCCTTGCTTGTTCAGGACCTCATCCAGAGTCAGAGTCAGGCTGCATGGGGAGAAAGGGCTGGGAAAGGGAAATCACCAGGTTCCATTTGTTTAAAGTACGTTTTTTCTATTATTTGAATAGATAGGACACACACTACAAAATCCCCAGTATGCAAAAAAGTATTCAATGAAAAGTAAGCCTTATCTCCTTACTCTGATTACCAACATCTGGTTCCCCTCCTTAGAGATAACTACCATTTGGATTTATGGCGTCCATTCCCAGATAATCTGTGCACATAAAAACACACACCATATTTATTTTTTACACTAATCTAGCCCTGGTTTTGACACCTCCCTAGAGGACCTCTAGTTAGGAAAGAAGCTAACTTGTCCTAAACACCTACTACACGTGATTCTTAATTGAGCTAAGAGTTACGGAACATCAGAACTTGTGCTAGGCCGGCAGTTCAAAAACCTTAAATCCCAGGGAGGGCTTGTTAAAATACAGATTGCTGGGCCCCCACCTCTAGAGTTCCTGCATCCTTGGGGGGAGTGGGGGTGAGAATTTGCATCTCTAACAAGTTCCCAGGGGATGCTTGTCCTGGGAGCACACTTTGAGACTACTGAGCTACCTGCTCTCGCACAAAGTATGTGCACTGGTGGCCTTATTTCTCTCCCCCAAGGGAAGGCACCAATGACCTAAAGAAACACACATACGAGATGGAAAGAGTTTCATAGAGTGATAAATTCTATGATGAAGAGGGGAGGGTGTGGGTGAGGAGGAAGTGCTTGAGAGTAGGGGTGGGGCAGGAGTGGAGGGCAGAAACATTCGTGGCACAAATAAGTTTCTTTTTGAGCAGCTGAAGTTTACAAAGCCGGGTAAATAGACACAAGTGGCCACCCTATCTTGGGCTCAGGGGAGGGGTCACCTACAGAGACAGTGTGGGGAAGGACGAGAAGGAGTCCGGCCCCCCGGGGTGTGCAGAGGCGAAAGGACTTGCAAAAGTGATTGAGAAGGAGCTGGGGGTGAGATGCGAGGGGAAATCCGAAAGAAACCGAGCGAGAAGACGATTTGAGAAGGAGACGCGATCAAGATCCTGGGAGGGTAGAAAGGTGCCGCCCTGGGTCGGTTACAGGAGTTCCCGGGGACCTCAACAAGGCATTTCCACGGTGAGCCCGAAGACGGCTGCAGTGAAGGGATGGGCAGGGAACCTGAGGAGTGGCGACTAAGGCTGCTGCAGGGGAAAGTTTTGCTGCCTGAGAATCAGAGATGAGGCGCTCCGTCCTCATGATAACGATGAGGGAGGGTGTTTAAAAGGTAGGAGTTACTGGAGTTTAGTTGGGGGTTGACGGGTGGGATCTTGGAGGGAGGAAGAAATGGAACATGCGAGAGAGAAGGGTTTGAGCCGTGAAAAGGGTAAAGCTGGCGGTTTCGGGGTGTTTGGAGGGTTCAAAGGCTCGCCTGCCCTGGAAACCTCACTCATCTGAACTTTACACCACTTCAAAGGGAAAGCACAATTTCCCCATTTTACAGACGAGGAAACTGAGGCTTAAAGAGGCGAAGAGACATGCCCAAGGTCCCACATGTCGCCGAACAGGACCTCAGAACAGGGCTCTGTGTGGGGAATCCGCGCTGCTCTTAATGCCCCGCTGTTCCTGCGGGCTTCGAACAAGACCCTTTTTTGTGTCCTTGCAGGATGCCCTTTGGAGAGCCGCCCGGTGGCAAAGAGGCCCCACAGCGAGCCGACTAGGCGGGGCGGCATGCCCCCTTCCACCCTAGCTCCGCCTCCAGAGGCGCGGGAGGGGGCGCGGGGGCGGGGAGCCGCAGGCGAGCGGGGGGCGTGCCGCGCGGGCAGAGTTGGCGGCGGCACAGAGTTTGCAGTGCGGCTCGCGCTTCCCAGCTTTTGCGCCCGGCTGTCCGTGCCCACCGTGCCCGTCCTGCCATGGCAGCGGCCACCCTACCGCCCCGGACCCGGTGGCTGACCCTGCTCCTGCCGCTGCTGCTGTGCGTGGGCCCTGTGCGCGCTGATAGTAAGGTACTCTCAGCCCTCGGACCCGGGCACTGCTCGGCGGGGAGTCGGGCGCGAGGGGGCGCTATGGCTGGGGGTGCGCACCAAGGGTGTCCCAGATCGGGAGCGAAGGACCGGGAGAGCGTAAACCCCACCGGGAGAGGGTAAACTGGACCTTGAGCATAACACGGAAGCTGCTAGAGCCAGGACCCCGGGAGAGGAGTGCGAGACGGAAGAAGCGCTGGAGATGGTAGTGGTGCTTGGGACCCGGAGCCTGAGGAAGGGGCGCTGGGACCCAGTCCAGTGCGGGATGGAGGTCAGCACTGAAAGCCAGGGCCAGGGAGAGGGGGCGCTGAAAGGTTGGAGGGGGCGCGGACAGGAGATGCAGTTCCCAGCCGAGGGAAGGGATTCCCAGGAGCGCTGGGCAGAGGCAGCCTGGAGATCTGGCTCAGTTTCCATGGAAGGCTGATGCACGTGGGGGCAGACCCCTGGGTAACTGCTACCCAGCGATTCCCAGGTTTGCAGCGGCCCCTGGCCGAAGGCTTTCGGGCCATGCTGGGGACCGAGAGTCCTTCCCCAGTGAACCCAGCTGGACTAGTCATTTGCCTGCCAGGGATCTGATGCACCCTCTGTAGGACACCGCGTCTCCAGAAATGACCTGAGCTGTTTTCAGTTGTGGCTAAAAGGATCTGCTCTGGTGTCCAGCAGACCTCGGTTCAAATCCCACCTCCACCTCTCAGCTGGGCGACCTCTGGTCTTTACGTCTCTGAGCCTCCATTTCCTCACTTGTAAATACCGGAACAGTTAACAGTCCCAACGCCTGGCATTGATGATCTCTAGATTAGTGAGATCATGCCTGGGAAACTTTTAGCACCTCACCTGGCACCTAGTAGGTGCCCAACAAATGGCACTGTGATTATGAAATCTCACCACAGGGAACCCAGAAGGGGGTGATATCCAGAAGGTAGAGAAAGCAAGCACTTAGAGTCAGTCAGAGCAGGGGACCTTAAGGGTGTTCTGGAAATGACCCAGTTGAGGATGATAACTGGACTGGGGTTAGTGAGGGGCAGGAAGGAGGTCGGGCCCTGCTCATGGAGCATGAGAGCAAAGGAGTGATTTCTCTCGATGTCTCTCCAGCCTCTTTCCTGGGTAGAAAGTGAGGCTGCCTGTTCCACAGACAGGTAAAGGGCAGAAGTCACTGACCACATGGTAAGTATATGAGCAGTGGACACTGGCGGTCAGACCCTCAGCTTAAAGATTCAGCTCAGAATACGAAAACAAGTGGGCTGTAGCCCTGACCATGTGCTGCAGTCCTGACAAGAGGGGAATAAATATCATTCCCATTTTACAGATGGGGAAACTAGGGTGTATAGAGAGGCAACTGGCTTATGAATCAAAAACCCTAGGTCTGGCCCTTTGTTGTTCTTTGGCTCTGTGACCTTGGATAAGTCACTGCCTGTTTGTGGGCTTCAGTTTCCCCATCTGAAAAACAATGTCTTCCCATCTTCCTTTCTATATAGGGCCTTCTAGGATTCCCTGACCTGGCTCAGGTATGGGAACAAGTGAGCAGAAACACTTCCCCCCCTCAAACCTGATCATTGTTTTGCCCCTCTGATTTCTCTGGCTGGGAGGACTTTCGGTCTTGGGCATCCTCTGAGCCACATAGAGGGCTGTAGAGCTTGTGGGGGAGGGCTAGCATTCAAAACAAAGCAAAGACAAAGAAAACCCAACACCCTGTTTATGTAGTGAGTCAGCCAAACACTTGCTAGGTTGGGGGTGTGTGTGTGTGTTTAGTTGTCCCAGGGCAAGCTGGGGCTGGTGGGGTGGGGAAGCACATCCTAGAATTTGGAGGATGTAGCAGCTGGGGGACTCAGCACAGCCCTCCCCCAGATACCTCCCACCCCACGCTGCTTTTGCCAGCTGGGAAAAATAAAAATCAAGTAATGGGTGAATTTACTCCGCATTCCTCAGCACAGCCGGACTCCTGCTGGCTCTGCAGAAAGCTGTTTTCATTATCACCTTCTCCCTCCTGCCTCTCCAAGCCCGGTCTGTCCTCTTTTCCTGGGTTGTGGGGAGCACTTGGGAGGGCCAGCCTGGGACCTGAAGACCATCTAGGGCTCTAATGAGTTAAGCTGGCCCCTCTTCAGGCATCCTGCTCCTAGGAGGTTCAGCCCCCTCTGCTGCCCAGTACTTTCTGGGGTACAGTAGGGCAGCTTAACCCCAGTTCTCACCACAGAACTCTGTGGTCTTGGCCAGCTCCTCTCTCAGCGTGTGAATTTCGTGTTTATAGCAAGGTCTTTCCTAAACAGGATTTGTACTTTCCATGTAAGGAAGTGCTTTGTCCAGCTTGGGAATGAGAGACAGAGTTCACAGCATCTCTGGCATTTCTGAGGGGCTGCCCAGCATGGAGGTTGGGAGGGACAGACAGGTAACCACATGAAACCCAGGCATGGCACCAGAGACCTCTGGGAGCCTGCTTTTTATTCTGTGTCCTTGGAATGTGGCTGAGAATTACCCATCTCTACCTCAGTTTCCCCATCTGTGAAAGGGCTGCTGGTGCCTCCACGCATTCATGTGTTGGAAGGGGGTCCTTGGTCAGCCCTACCTTTGACCAGGGCCCAAGGACAGGGAGAAAGCCAAGACAAGGGAACTGGGCCAGGGGAGCAGGAGGGGCTGGAGTAAGCAAGCAGTGGTGTCCCGGGCTGGATCAGAAGTTCCAGGCCAGGCTGGCCCCAGGGGCTTAGGTGTTGCTGTGCCTCTGCTCTGGAGTTTCCGCCTGTGGGTGTAATTGGAAACAGGCTCTGGAGCAGGCAAGGGATGCACAGTGATGGAGTCCTCCTGCACACACACAGTCTCTCGCAGGGAGGGTATCCCCTAACGTTCCCATTGGCTGGGACGCCCAGGACAAAGCCCTGAGAAACATCCTGTGTGCCAACCCCCATGCCCAGCACTTACTTCAGGATCTTACACAACCCTCCTCCCAACACTCTGATACTTCAGCGGACCCTCCCCATTTGACAGACATAAACACTGAGGGGGCAAAAGAGGCAGGTGGGGCTGCTCAAATATCCTGGACAGAGCTTGAGGACTTTGGAGAATCCTGGGATTCCAGGATTCCCAGCCTTTAGTGGGCAACCAGATGGCCAGGGGAGCCTGCAAGTCTGAGACAAGGGGTATAGAGCTGGGCCAGGGCATCTGCATTTTCCAAGTGCACCCCAGGTAATTCTGAGGCACATCCCCTAGCTGAGAACTCGCGGTGACAGGGAGCCATGGAGGTTTGTAGAGCAAGAGAGTAACAGATCACCAAAGAGAAGCTTTTGGAAGATTGATCCAGCAGAGAGGAGGCTACTGTCCAGGTAGCAGTTAATGTGGACTGAACTCGGGCTGTAGCCATGGTGTGGAGAGCAAGGGAGAGAGATGGGAAATAACTTAAGATGAAGAATCGGAAGAAAATGACCAATGGTTTGTCCAGAATAAGAAGGAGACTCAGATCTGGGGTGGACAGGAGGGTAGATAGACACCGGTTTAGGAGACGATGCTGGGTCCAGTTATGGATGGACTGAGTTTGGAGGCGCCTGCAGGCATCCAGGGCGAGGTGTCCAGCTGGCAGTGGGCTGTGTGTGTGTGTGTGGGGGGGCAGGTGGTCTTTGCCAGCAGGAGGACATGGAAGCTGCCTCTCAATGAGTCTGGGCTGGCCATGAGAGAAGAGGGAAGACTCAGCCTCAAGGTGACATAATTTGAACCTGTTCCAGTTCTAGAACATTTCACAGCTTGAATCTCCCTCTTCCCAATTCTATCCAGATTTATCCATCTCTTTTCAGAAAAATCTCAAGTACGCCCTCTGGCCATCTCATTGTGGGATTTCCTTGCAAATACCTAGGGACCTTTTAAAACACCATCCACCCACACTTTTGGGGGCTTTGGCAGCTGTGTGTGCTGAGCGAGGAGGCTGCAGGGAGAGATGGGGAGCTGAGGCAGGGACTTTGCTGCTTGGCAGCAACTCCAGCCCTCATGCCAAGAGCAGGGTGGGCCAGGCCCAGTGGGAGCCCCAGGTCCTATGCTCCCCCATAGCCCAACCCAGGGCCCCCTTCTCTGTCCCAGCTGGTGGAGAGGCCCTTGCCTGGTGACTATGGGTGGTCATGGGATGAACAGCATGTAAACCAAATCTTGGAGTCAGGCTGTGCTGTGTGACCCTGGGCAAGCCCCTAGCCTTCTCTGGTGCTCAGATTTCTCCTCTAAGATGGGGTTGTGGTGAGAGCAAAGAAGGGTAGAAAATGATGTGCAAGTGTGAGGGAGGGTGGTTGGCAGCAACTTGAATAGCAAGTACCATTTAGAGAGCAGTTACTCTGTGCCAAGCTTGGTGCCAGGCACTCTGCATGCATTAACTCATTTCAGCCTCAGGGTGAGTTTACGAGGAAAGGACTGTTGGCCTCCCCATTTTACAGAGGAGGAAGCTGAGGCTTACAGGATTCAAGGCCAGGCAGGGAGATGTGGGAGCTGGGATTTTAGTCTAGGCTTGGCTCCTCACCCTGTCGCTCTGCCTCCTCCAATCAAAGCACCACAGAACGTAGTAATCACGGGAGATAGGGCCCTGCCGGGGCTCCTGGCAGCTGGGGCTGGGAGCAGAGGCCCTGTTCCAACTGCTGGCCTCCGCCCCCATCAGGACGTAGCACCTCATCTGAGGAGGGAAGGAATGTTGCAGTCTGATGTGGAGGCTGTTGCTGGTGGGGGAGGGTGTTGGGATGATGGGTGGGTCCCAAGGAGGAGGCCTCTCTGGCCTGGCCACACATAACACACCCACATCCACCCACTGGGCTCTTAGCCCCACCTGGGGGAGTGGGTGGAGATGGCTAGAGGTCCCACCAGAGCTGGGAAGGGGGTCCAGGAGTCTCAAAGAGAAGGCAGGCTTAAGGTACTAGTGGTGATCTAAGGAATGAATGTTCAGGACCCCTAGCATGGCTGGCAGTGTTTCCTGGGCAGGGGAGAATTGCCCCACAGTGCCCACAATACACTTTGTAAAGCTTCCACCCATAGCTGTCCCCTTCCCCACCTTGCTCATCCCCCAGGGGCCCTTGAACAAGTCATTTGATGGCTCCAAGGCTCAGTTTCCTCATCTGTAGGACGCTGCTAAGAATATCTACCAATGCACCCATGTGGAGAAACAATCGGCTAAACAACTCCCTTTCAGGATTATTGGTGGTAATAATAACAGCTACAATATATGGACCACAGTGTGTGCTCCTGGCGCCTGACTCAGCGTATTCCTGGTCTTCCATCTCTCAGTCCTCACACAGCCCTTTGTTGGGTAGGCGCTAGTAGTACCCCCATTTTACTGATGAGGAGACTGAGGCACAGAGAGGTTAAGTCACTTCCCCAGCACTCAGTGAGCTCTCAATAAATGTCTCCTCCCTGGACTTCGCGCCTCAGGCTTGCCCCCTCCACCATCTGCCCACCAAGCAGCTGAGTGAACTTCCCATGATGGTGATTTGACCCTGGCTCCCCCTGATTAAAACCCTTCTGTGATACCCCAGTATTTTCAGTAAGAAGCCAAGATCTTCAGCCATCTTTCAGGGCCCTCCATCCTTTGCCTGCCACCCGCAGCCTTACCTCCAACACCCCAGGCTCCCTGCAAGCACCAGCCAGAGTGAACCTCCTCCAAGTCCCCAAGGTGCCAGGCCCTTGCTTGTCTTTGCGTATCTGATTTGCTCTCCCTGGAATGCCCTCCTCCTTAAAGATGCCCCCCATGGGTGCGCTCTGAGCAATCGTCATGGGTGTCTGTCTCTGTGTTCTCAAAGCTCGCTGTGCCAACTTCTCCCATGGCTAGAAAAGCCAAGAACGTACCTTGTTCTATTTCTTTTGCACCTCCAGCTATCAACCAGCATCTGGCAGAGGCCAGTTGCTCAAATAGGTATCTGAGGGCTTGAGCAGACGTGGAGTGCCAACAGCCCTTCCCTACAGGGCTGTGGGGAGACACTCATGGGTGCTTGGCTGGGCAGAAAGCCCAGAATGCAGTTGGGTCTTGGTGGCTTCAGTGAGAGCCGAGTAGCCATGAGACCTGGGGTATTTGTTGACTGAGCCATGAAGAGCTATCTCCCAAGATTCTGGAGCTCGGGGTGGGCTGGCTGAGCCAGCCAGGGGTGTGGCTGGCTGGCGCTTCCAGAGCCCAGCGGGTGTGTCAGGGCAACACAGGCTGCAGGCGATGACTGAGCCAGGCACCTGTCACTGATCTCACTGAGCTGACTGCTAAAGGCACAAAGTCCTGCTGCCCCCAGTGACCACAGCCAGACCCTTGGGTGTGTGGCTCCCGGGATGGGATTGAAGGAAAAAATGAGGAGGGGAGGGAAACTACTAAATGGAGGTCACGTTATTTCATTTGATTCTCACTACAAGAAGGCCGGATATGGAGAGTCATCCATTTTACCACAGGAATGAAACTCAGAGAGGTTATGTAACCTGTTTAAGGTCACACAGGGTGTAGGGGACAGGTCTGTAGGAGAAGCAGCATAGACCAGTGATTCTGATCCAAAGTCGGCCACAGCCAAAGCTGTGCGACCTTAGACATGTGATTTCACTTCTTGGAGCCTCTGTTTCTTCAGCTATATTAATGGCTCACACTCACTATGTGCTAGGCTCTGTTCTTTACCTATATTAACTCATTTAATCTTCACAACAATCCCACGAGGCAGGAGCCCATTTTACAAACAAGGAAGTAGGCACAGAAAGGTCGAGTGGCCCACAGCTCACAGTCACTATCCCAGGGTCCAGATACCATGTTCTTAGCCCTGCGCTTTCACGTGTCTGCAAAATGCAGGCTCATTTATCCAACAAATATTTACAGAGCTCCAAGTACAGGTCAGGCAGGCACTGTTCTGGGGCTATCGGAGGAAACTAGACAAAATTCCTGCCTCTTAATGGTGCCTTCAGTAGAGGGGAGACAAAAGTTAAGTGAACACGGATATAATATTTCAGATGGTAATAGGTGCAATAAAGAAAAACAAAGCCAATAGATAAGGGGACTGAGTAATGGAAGGTGGGTGGCCAGGGAAGGCTTCTCGGAGGAGGTGCTGTGTAAGGGATGTGAGAGACTAGACAAGGGAATTTCGGGGATAAGGGTTTCAGGATAAGGGCACCACATCTGCAAAGGCCCTGAGGCTGGAGTGGAGTGAAGGCAAGGGTGGCAAGAGAAGGTTGAGGAAAAGGTGTCAACTCACATAGGGCTTGAAGGCCATGGTAAGGACTTTGGAGAAAACAGTACCCCCTCCCCATACACAGGTATAAGGAAAGGGTATGATGTACGTGAAACCTGGGATGGAGTAAGTGCCCAATAAAAGGTCTCCATTCATATTGTTTACTATTATGGTAAAATACACATAACACAAAATCTACTATTTTAACCACTTTAAAGTACACAATTCAGTAGCATTTAGTACATTCACAGTGTTGTGCAACCGTCACCCCTTTCTAGTTCCAGAACATTTTCATCACTCCAAAAGGAAACCCCGGACACACTAAGCAGTCATTTCCCGTTCCTCCCTCCCGCTAAATCCTGGCAACCGATAATCTGCTTTCTGTCTCTATGGATTTGCCTGTTCTGGATATTAATATAAATGGAATATGTAGCCTTTTGTGTTTGGCTTCTTTCACTGAGCATCATGTTTTCAAGGCTCATTCATGTTGTCGCACGTATCAGTACTTCATTCCTTTTTATGGCTGAATAATATTCCATTGTGTGGATGTGCCACATTTTGTTTCTTCATTCATCAGATGATGGACATTTGGGGTGTTTCCACCTTGTGGTCATTGTGAATCGTGCTGCTATGAACATTCATGTACAAGTCTTTGTTTGAATACCTGTCTTCAATTATTTTGGGGATATACCTAGAAGTAGAATTATTGGGTCATCTGGTAATTTAAAAAATGTATCCCGGGCCGGCCGAGTGGCGCGATGGTTAAGAACTGGCTTGGGATGCCAGAGGGCCCCGGTTCAGATCCCACATATGAGGGCCAATGACACTGCCCTCTACAGCTAAGATGCTGAACAACAGCTCGACCTGGAGCTGGGCTGCTGTGAGTCGCGGGCGACGGCGTAGGCTGCAGCCCCTGTGGCAGTGGGTTGCCATGGGCTACCGTATGTAGCCAGCAGCCAGCGTGAGCGGCCAGCAGCCGCAGTGAGCGGCCATCCAGAAGCCAGCGACTGATCTGCCTCGCCCGGGAAGAGCGCAGCGATGGTGCCAACTTGGGCCAGTGAAACGACGACCTCCTCAACTAGACTGAAGAACAAAAAGGACAGCAACTTGTCTGTTCCCCTTCCCCCAATTCCCCAGCACTGTTCCCATCCCCCCAATTCCCCAATAAAAATCTTTAAAAAAAATAAAATAAAATAAAAAATGTATCCCTACTTTATGTTTTATTTTTCAATTACAGTTGACTTTCAATGTTATATTAGTTTCACGTATACAGCTTAGTGGTTAGACATTTATACAGCTTACAAAGTGATCGCTTTCAATAAGTCTGGTACCCTCCTGACACCATGCTGGTAATTCTGTTTAACTTACTGAGGAAAGGCGAAATTGTTTTCCACAGCAATCATTAATATTTTACTTGGGGTTATTATTATAAGGCCCCTAGTTCCTTGGAAGGGCTGTTTGCTCCTACCAGTCCCCAGAGCCAGGGAGGCTGGATTCTGCTACCTGTCCCCTCCTCCTCCTCCTCCTCCTCTGTACCCTCCCTCCAGCACTGGTCTGTGACTCACTCAAACCCCTCTTGCAGATGTTTGGTGATGTGGACCAGGTGCGGATGACCTCCGAGGGCTCCGACTGCCGCTGCAAGTGCATCATGCGGCCGCTGAGCAAGGACGCATGCAGCCGCGTGCGCAGCGGGCGGGCGCGTGTGGAGGATTTCTACACCGTGGAGACCGTGAGCTCCGGGACCGACTGCCGCTGCTCCTGCACAGCGCCACCCTCCTCGCTCAACCCCTGCGAGAACGAGTGGAAGATGGAGAAACTCAAGAAGCAGGCACCCGAGCTGCTCAAGGTAGACTTTCTGGGTTGATGGTGGGGATGGGAACACCTCCTGCGCAAGTACCTGCCTGGGCTGGCTCCAGGCTGTCCTTACAGTGAAAAGTCCACAAACTCTACTGCAGGTGCTGTGATCGTCCCCTTTCACAGGTGAGAAAACAGGCTTCCTGAGTTAAAGCCACTTCTTGCCCAAGATCACTCGGCCAGTAAATGATGGAGGTGGCATTCTTTGGCTCGTTTACCTATATAGCACTTACCCTTACCATCAAGTCCAGTGTCCTGTATTTTACCCAAACTAGTTCATCTGTTGGCACCTCCATATAGTATTTACACTTTAATTTTGTGCCATTTTATTGTTTTTAATTAGTAATATTTCCCATAGTTAAGTACCACCTGTATGCCAGATGATGTGCTAAGCTCTTTTCACAGATTATTTTACCTAAATTCTTTTCTTAATCTTTTTTTTTTTTTTTTT